GAGAAAGGGTGGCAATTCGTGGCAACACACATTGTCCCTCTGCCAATTCCGCCATCCCATGGCTCTTTTATGCAAAAAGTGCGGGTTGTCTCATTGAAGCAACCCACACGTTTCCCTCCCCATAGTCTGGAGGAAGTGCCTTTCGGTGCCTCCTCCCAACTTTGGGAGGAAAGTAGGCAGGGCTTGCCATACATCGTGTGAAGGTGCATAGCAGGCCCTGTCAAAAACCTCCTTTGCTGCGGTTAAAGGTGGCAAAATGAGGCTTTTCAGCCCCATGTGAAGAGGTCCTTGGATGTAGTTCATCTGACACTGGAGACTTGAATTTGTTTAGAGTTCAATCTTCAGGGCCAGATGAACTACATCCATCTGGCCCTGTAGACTTGAACTCTGAAACGGATAGATGACCATCTGTCAGGGATACTTTGATTGGCTTTTCCCACATGGGAGGGGGTTGGACTAGATGACCCATGTGGTCTCTTCCAACTCTAAGATTCTATGATTCTATAAGAGAGTGTAAATAAATATATAGTTGCTTCACTGATTTCATTGATGGATCAGTCTTCTTCTCTTAAATGCTCTACTCCTGCCTAACCTAATATCAACACCTGCCTGGGTACAGAATATGGCTATGATTTGATGATTCCTCACACCATTTCACATTATAATATCAGACATAGAAAAGAACATTTGAATCATATTTTTTCCAACAGGATTTTATTAAATTCTCACCAGCACTGTACAGAAAACAGATGTGTTTCATTTATTAAATTTGGTGCCCTCAGTATGCAAGGATTCTCTCCAGGTCAGTACACGTATGCATAATTATACCCAGTGCTATCTCCTCCTTCCTAATTCAAACACTGAAATTGTGTGCACATTGGGTCAATGCAGATATATTTTCTTTGAAATAACACATTTAATTTGTAGGTTTTATTCCAGACCTCATATCTTACTTATCATGATAGCCTTTAAAACACAAAATGTATACAAGATGCACCTGACGCTTGGCCAGTTCAAAAATTCAGGGAGTTGTTAAAGGCCATTTCAAAATGGAGGTCAGTTTTACAAGCTCACAAAGTCTTTGCTAACTTGGATTTGATTTGAGTTTAATATAATTTTTTGCTTTTGTGCATGCCCATTCTATTGAGTTCCACTGCCCAATGCCAGAAACTTACTCTCACTCTGAAATGTTTCCTTTCTCCTAATTCAATAGTATTGGGGACGGTGGTGAAGGCATTTTTCTTCTTCTCTCAAGTTCTATCATCTAATTGTATCTGCCAACCATGTAATAGGGAACATGAAATTATGGAAGATATAGTCTCTCACCTATCTCTAGAATTGTACGGTGGAAGAGTGTGAATGTTTTAGGTCATGCTTTCAGCTTTTGCATATGTGGTTTGGTGTTTGTTGTGCTTTGCTTCTTTCATGTAGACCACATGGCAACCTATCACAATGTAAAAGGTAAACAACCTTGTTTTAAATGAGAAACTGAATGAACCTATATATTTCCAGAAAAGGATAATGGGGTGAGAAAATATTTTTTTTCTTTTAGCCATCCCCTAACCATTTGCAGTGTCCAACCTTAATTTGCTGGAGGGGAAAAAGAAGAAATACCGTATTCCATCACATAATAGTTACCACCACAACATAATAGCTGTATCCCAATTTTTGGAATCCCTAAATGTTTTTTTCCCTTTCCTTATGTAATTGTCACAGGTATTTATAAAACTGCGAAACTCCCTTTGCCCCTCAAAGACACTGAGCTTTCCCTCCTCTGTTCCCACCTCGAAGAAAGCTTACACAAACAAGGAGCTCCCGCCCCCTCCTTTTCGTCTCGAGGTGTGTGTGTGTGTGTGTGTGTATACACACACATACAAAGTGGCAAACACAATCACCAGTTTTATTTCATCGCATAATAGTCACATGCCCCTGTCTTCCAACCAAAAAAGGGATAAAAAGTGTTACTATAATATGATGAAATATGGTAAGAATAATAGGATCCTCTGTAACGACTACCCTGTGTATAGACACAGTCATATGCAAGTCTAATGTGCCGTCACACCCAGATCCTATAAAAATAAAACTAAGATGTGATTCTCTCTTTGTCTGGGCGGACCGCGCGGGTCTTTCTTTAGAAGCTTGAGATTCCCAGCAACTGAGGCTACTACAGGTTTTGAACACCAAAACAGAATATTTATTTCTCAAAGTCCTTGCAGACTTGGCACAGCTTGTCAAAGTTACAAACAAAACAGTCAATTAGTGAAACCATAGAGATGATCTTTCTTTCCTTTTCCTTCAGTTACTGAGGTGCCTTCATCCAAATGGTAGAAAAAATCCTGAGATCTTTTTACCCCAACCCTGAGCCACTATCTTTTAGAAAGTGTAGACCTTCCCTATTCCAGCCCAAGGTCAGTTTTGGAGATGAAGCAAATAGTACTAAATAACTATTTCCCAATAACTCAATATCTATCTATAACTCAATTGCTCAATCACTATCTATAGTATCTCAATCACTAAATTTATCTTTCTATCTATTTCTCAATCAGCTTCTTTATCTATATAACTCAATCAGCTTCTCTTTCTAAATAACTCAATCATATCTCAATCTAACTCAATCATTCTTACAATGGTTTTCTCAGAGTACCTGCCTGACCAACAGCACTTCTGAAGCTTTCTTCTCTACTGAAGGAGGAAGGGAAGATTCCAAAATGGGGATCTCATCCCCTGGAAAAAGGGCGGTCCCTACACCCAAATAGATACTTTTCTAAAGCAATAACTGCAGAGGGCCTGCAGTCTGGCTTTCCAGATTCTGATACTGTTTAACTTCCAGGGTGCTGCTGGGACTGTAGCAGCCCTGGGGAAATGCAAAAGAACACTATCCCATGCAATTAAAGGTAATGCAAACTATGCTCCTGGAAGATGGAACATCTAATGTTTTATGTAGTATTTGGGGTACCTATTTGCAAGTAAACTACATTACAGGAAGACACCAAAGTAGAAGGGTTCAAATGGAAAGGTGGGACAGTTGCCCATGACCAAGTCTGCTGCCACTTCAAGTGGAATATTTGCTCCTCCTTTTTCTCTTCAATTTATTAGACCTGGGCTGATCTTTGTTGATCAACAACAATAAGACCTCTCAACCTCTGATGATGCTTGCCATAGATGCAGGTGAAACGTCAGGAGAGAATGCTTCTAGAACATGGCCATATAGCCCGAAAAAAGCCTACAACAACCCAACAATAAGACATATAGGAACAAAGGAATAGGAATAAAATGAAATAAAATCTGTACATTGCTTGAGCTTGAATCTACAGTATAAAGAAAAGCTATTTACATTCTTTCTCAAAAACACTGTAATGGATGAGGATTCTGAAGAACATGGATTCTGAGAGCTGAGCTTTCACGTTGTGATGACTTGATGTTGGCCCTTAAGATTGAGGATCCTTTGTGTCATGGCTCCCTGTCCCTGGAATTCCATCTTGAAGAAAACCCAGCTAGTTAACTTCCTTTTGATATTCAGAAGTCTTGTGAAGAGTTTCCTGCTTAAGAAGGAGTTTTGGAATCTAAAAGGCAGGAAAACTGGTTTTGATTTAATGCTGCTTGCATGGGCTGTTGATTTAAGGTTGAGTCATGTAGAAGAATGTTTAGATGCGCTTTGATGTTCTTTTGAAATGGTTTGGATTATATGAGTAACATTTGTCATAAGTGGCTTTGGAAATCTAATGGGACAAATTTTAGTGGGATATTAATTTTAAAAGGAATAAAATGCATGACAGCAAGCTAAGTAGGTGCAAATATAACCTAGTCTGCTATTGATAATGCACACATGGTTGTTTAGATGGCTAAACTAGATATGACACTAAATGCATGCAGTTCCATTTTAAAATAGTGGCTGTATTTAAAAAAGAAGTTACCGTAATAGTGTGTATGTGTGTGTGTGTGTGGGGAGGGGGGGTAGTTTCCTTAGGATCACAAGACATGGATGATCTTAATCTTTTACTCCCATGCTGTGGTTCTGATAAAAAAGCAATCCCCTTAAGGTACCATAAACCCAAAATGCAAAGTTTCTATTGGTACCACCAAAGAATAAGGCGAAAGAAGCCAGATTATAGGAAGGAAAGAGTTCACTTTCCTTGTAGTAGCTATTATCTTATTCTAAAATAAACTTCAAGTTATGAATTTAGCAATGGGTCTAATTTGTTGCTATACTGACACTAAACTAAAGAAAAACTCCTCTAAAAGTAGAAATTCAGTATATTATTTTAAGTGTGGTGTGGTGAATCTGTATTTTTATTTATCAAAATGCCAAAAGTCTTATCTTTACTAGGTAAGTAAAGTCTCAATTCTTACTATTTTGACATTTTGTTTATGCATTGAAAACACCTATTGCTCTTGCTGATAAAGAAAGTATTAGTCTATTTACACTGGGGCAAAAAATTCTCATGAAACTTTACAATTCTTTTGATGAGGTGCTTTGACTTTGTTGAGAAATTCTTGCTTGTCAAGGATATGAAAAATTGACTATTTGGAACATCCCCACAGTGTGTGCATTTGTTTGTGTCTGTGTCATATTTGTATTTATGCACATCTCTGATAGCACATGTCTAGATAGGTTGACAGACAGATAATCTAATAGACATGAATTAAGTCATTTCTTCTGCTTTTGTAACTTACGTTGAAGTGAAAGGATAACCACTCAGGCTCAGAGAGCCTATGAGTTGTTTTATTTTTTATTGGCTGTGAGTATACTGCTTGGGTTGAGGGAAGAATGACTTAGGAACCATCCATTGCATGGCCTGTTTTACTACAAACATATTTGAGAACAATGTGTCAGGCCATTAGGCCTGCTGGACGGTTGCCTGCAGAAAACAGGAACCTTTGTCCCCCAAGTTCAAAATGTAAACACAGTTCAGGACACCCACTGCTTCTTTATGCTATGATATGGGGCTTGGCAGGCAGAATTCCTGCACTGCATACACAACAGGTATTTAACTACTTACTTGCTGCTCAAGCAGCGTCTCAGGGAGTAAGAAGCACCTCCTCCACATGTACGGGAACATTCACTCCACGAACCCCAAGCATCCCAGAGGGTATCACGATCTTCCTCTGATCGAGCAGTTCGAGAACTCTAGGAAACAAAGGAAGAAAGTAAACAAAGCATTGGAAAAAATTCTTGCTGTTTTCCCATGCCCACTGGAGTTTTCTCAGACAGCCTCCATCCTATCCAAAATTCTAAAACACGACAACTTTTGGATCAAAATAACATGTGGATGGCCAGTATGATTGATGCAGACCTGTGTACTTTGATCCCTACATTTGGTCAGTTATACTCACAACTGACTAGGATGAGAGGTAACAGGCGTGTGTGGGTTGGGAGAGATGTGTGCTACATTTCATACAATAGTTTCATATGTGGATAATACATAAAACACTTGTGTTCAGTGCTTTCTACCATACCAGTAGAAACTGTGAATTGCCTGGGTCGAATTTGAATTCACATAACAATATCATAGAGATGGGGCAAAATCTGTATTACACTCAAATTGCATGTAGATGTTTGTGTATGTCTGTGTGAAGTGTCTTTGCTGATCAGTACGTCCTGCTATCTCTGTAAAACAGAATGCCATCTTACTTGGGATGACTAGAGCTATAGTTTAATACACTTGGAAGATAACTGGGTTGGGATGCCTACTATAAAAGATCCCAAAACATCTTCTGACAGGTTGGAGAGAAGGCCAGCTTTGGAAACCCTGAAAGTACTTAGCAGACAATCCAAGGGGGGGGGGGGGGCTTCTAGATTTCTAAGAGAGCTGCCTTTCTTAAAGCCATGCTGTTGGGCTTTGGATAATTGAAATAGGTGATCAGACACTTGCTAAATCTAGGAATGAAAGAGGCAGTTGTCAGATCTACACATCTGTAGAGAAATATCAATTTTGCATTTTCTAGGACTCACGAAGGACAGGACAAAAACCTTGCCATGGAAAAGTACACATTACCTAGTCTGGCAAAGCATTTCTGAGCGGGATGCACACAGATTCAAGCAATCATTTGAAAAATGCACACAGCTAAAAATAACATGAAGTCTTGAAGTACTATAATGATCAACACATTTTATTATGGAAAAAGCTTTTGTGGGCTATAGATTACTTCTAGGATGCATATAGCTGTCAGATAAATACTTGGATGAAAAGATAGAGGACTGTAATAGGTGGAATTAAGACTACATGTGAGTGATCTATAGTATGATGGGAAAAGTCAATTATTTCTTGTTTGTACATGTTGGTGGGTGCATCTGTGAGATGTTTGTACAGATGTACACATTTTTGTACAGTCCCTGTAATCCGCCCAACACTCTATCTGGTCCTTGATTTTTTTTCTTTTATTTTAGATCGAAGAAACAATATTTCTTCAGACTTGTGTGGGCAGTGGTGACCAAATTTCCCCACCAGGAACCTGCATAGAAAGACAGATACAATGTGGTTTGGGATAAAAAGAGGCCACAACTTGTTTATTGGTTACAATGAAAAACAGGGTTGGCAGCCATGCATGAGCCCTGGATGAAGAATTGGTCAACCCAATGCTGACCGATGCTGCTTCACAATAGTAGCGGTCCTTAGCAGTGAGCCGATTGTTCCCGACTTGTGACACCAGTACTGCTGCACCCCTATGCCACCAGGACACTTCCCACTCATCGATAAAGGGAGGAGGTATGCAAACCGGATCCAGGGCCCATGTCACATGCCCACAAGTTGTGACAAAAGAAAATGCTAAGCAATCAAACAATAAATGCATAGAATGATACAATTTCAGAGTGGGAGGTATGGGACAGCTGAGAGGTGACTGGCCCCCAGAACAAAGTGGGGCCCGCATGCAGTTGATCTGGTTGCAGGTCGGAGCACATCCCTGATTGGCTGCCTGGCCAAGCACGCCAAAAAGCACAGGGCGCTGGGGCTCCTTGGGAAGGAGAACCCCAAACAGAGGATGGCAGGTGAGGTGCACCAGCTTCTGCAACCTCCCTGTTCAATAAGTTTATGCCACATCTAAAGAAATTCAGATGTGATGCCAAATAATTGTTTGGCTTCTTCACATGCATAGTTCCTACCTGGTTTGGTAAAGCCATCATTTGCTATAGACCAATAAGATGTGGTTAGTACTTATTCCCCAAACAAGGATTTCAGACCAACTTCACATCATAGTGTATCTATGTTTTGAGGACTAGAACCTATCTTGAGTGTCTGGAGCATGAATGGGCAACTACTGGAATCTATGGGGTTATAGCAGGTCCTTGGAGGATTATATACCCCTTCCGCCCACCACATAAAAAAGATCCAAAATTTCTTTTGCCAATATATGCTCCCATATACAGTCTATTGTCATGATTTGGGGGTGGATGTTAAGTCCAGACTTCACTTTAACATCCACCCCCAAATCATGACAATAGACTGTATATGTCCAGACTTCACTTCCTTTTTTAAAAAAAAGCTCAGATGCAGGTAACATGGTGAAAATATCTCTATACACTCCAGGCTGTAAGGCATTAGTAACATTTTGTAGCAGGAAAAATGTTTTTCAAACTTTTTGGGACTTCTGGGGGCCACAAACAGTGCCAGACAATTCCATTTTGAGGAATACCTGGAATTATTGTTTTCCTACTTCTAGACACTGAGTGCCATAACAGGGGCTCACTTAACTCAGTTTTCAGCATTGTGATGCCAAACACAGTCCTTAGGTATGTGTAAGGAGCCATACATGTGATCTAGTGTGTTCTTTAAAACATATACACAACATTATAAAGGAAACTTGCAGTGGCCTGTGGCTAAATCCGGTAAAATATTTTGTAAGTATAAAGGAGTAATGGTCCTACTATTGGAGACAAATCAGAAGCAAAGCTATAAATACATATAGGGCAAAAAAGAAATAGTAAACAGCAAGAATGCAGGCAACACTGATAAGGCAAGATGTCTCGGGGTACATCAAAACTGCTTCTAACATCAAAAAGAACTCTCAATAGTAAAAGGATTCTCTGTGAAACTCTTAACAGTTTCTATCCCAATGTGGCAAAATGTTAAAGCAGAGGCCATTATGTTATCTCAAAAGGATTGCGTAAAGACCTTTGTCATGATATCTGTAGCTCCGCAAAAGACTTCAGTGTTGAATGCAGTCATTCACACAAAGCAGGGGTGGGAGATGGAGGAGAAGAAACTGAGCGAGTTTGAGACTGTGAACAGTTTAGTATATGTCTTTTCAACAAAGTCTTTGAACTTATCGCAGACCCAGATCCAAATCCTCAACGTCTACCAACAGCTGGGCATTGCGCCTGGGGCCCGGTCTCTTTAAAGTTCTTTTATCAAGTAGGGCTTACCCATGTGGCTGCTGAGAGTCTTTAATATTACAGTTGACAGTTGTTTATAGTGTGAATGAAAGAACTAAAAGTTTATTTATTAGCAATGCTGAGGGAATGTGCTAATAGAAGCTGTAATGTTCTTTTTATATAACCGAATATATATATTTCTTTAATCTCATAATGTGCTGTAGTAATGCTAACTGCTACCTATGCTGCCTAGTGGCAATGCTACTGATATGAATGGGTAACAAAGAAGGTGAAATCAAAGTGTTTTAAGGACTCAAATACTACACAGGAGAGACAGACAATTGATTAAACGCTAATTCAAGTTTGTTGGTACAGAAAAATATTGCTTGTCTAAGGACATCAGACAGGTTCCCAACATGTCCTTCTACATAACGGATTCCTTTGGGCTTCTTTCAACATCACAGATTCAATGTTTGGAAGCCTCAAACTCTTTCAAAAAGTCTTGAGATGCATAATTAATGCAGTTTGACACCATTTTGACTGTCATGGCTCAATTTTTTTAAATGTCAGGAGCGACCTGAGAAACTGCTAGTTGCTTTTGGTGTGAGAGAATTGGCCATCTACTGTGACATTGCCCAGGGGATGCCCGAGTGTTTGATGTTTTACCATCCTTGAGGGGGCTTCTCTCATGTCCCCACATGGGGAGCTGGAGCTGATAGAGGGAGCTCAACCCACTCTCCCTGGATTTGAACCACTGACATATTGGTCAGCAGTCCTGCAGTCACAAAGGTTTAACCAGTTGTGCCACCAGGGGTTCCAGAACCATGTCTCAATGCAATGGGGTCACGATGAGGCGCCAGCAATCTTTGACAGAGAAGGCTAAAGGTATCTTAAAGCCACAATCCCTGTAATTCCACAGAATTGAGCCATGAAAATTTAAATGGTGTCAAACTGCATTAATTCTACAATCTAAGTCAGAGCTTTAAAAACTGTAATGTGTTAAATATGTTGACTGCAGTGTGTAGATGTGTCACGAGATCACAACGAGAAACCTCTATGTGAAACAGGCATTAAATTATATCTTTTGAAAAATATAAAGACATTGTGTCCCCAAAGATTTCATTATCATAATTCTTGTATGTGCCTGTATCTCTTATAAGGGGTTGTTTTAACCTCCAGTTTGCGAGTAAAACTGAATTACTGTGTGATGAAATAATGCATGTCTAAAAAGTGTATCACCAACATAGAATGTTTGGAAAGATCTGATCTAGATATACCCTTGATCTTGATGGTGTATATATAAATGGCATTATAATCCCGGTTAATCTGGGTCATCCCTATTTTTGAAACCTTGGTTTTTTGATAGCTTTTAAAATTTTTTAGATAGACTGTCACCTTTGGCTACATTGCATGTGGTTTTTCATATTGCATGTAGGACAGTCTATTTAACAGTATATTTAGCTTCTCTATTTTTCGTAATTGTGTCTTTTGCACAGTAAAACCAGCTCTTCAAGATGAACACTTGTGCACAAATCCCTGAACTAAGCTCAAATTGACCTGTTCCTGACTAGTTCAAAGATGACTGAATGCTGCACTCTGGGAGTTGGATATAGGGTCCTGAGCCCTGGCTTCCTTGACTGAGTCTATCTATTTGGAATGATGTCTTCATCTTTTGCTACAGCCTTCTACCTTACCAAGTTTTATTGCTTTTTCTAATATAACATGCCTTATCATTATATGTCAAAAGTATGACAGTCTCAGTTGGATCGTCGTCTTGGCTTCTAGGGAGAGTTCAGGCTTGATTTGTTCAAAGATCC